AAACTTTATAAATAATCCTGTAAATACTTTAAATGCACGAATAGAACCTGTGATATGAGATAGGGAAAGTATCATAATATTCATCTTTGCTGCGTTGAAACTGTAATTCAACAAGGGCCAGTATCTTATTCATCTTTGCTGCGTTGAAACTGTAATTCAACAGACTTTATGATAAATAAGAACAAGTATTGTTTAAATCTCACGTCTTATTTAATTTTTACCCCTATGGTTGTATGATAAAATAATATGATATTTCATAACAATCAAATATCCATGAAAAATATCTCATAAAAAATAAAAATTGTATATAATTATTAACATACATTTATGTGACTTCTAATTAATTATACCTTTGCTAACCTCGTATACAACACACTTATCACATACAACCCCAATGTTTCGTATAAACGTGTATGACTTATAAATGAATTATAAAATTAAATAACACAGACAGCTGGAGCGTATGCAGCCCTTGCAGTTGAGATATTTATAGCACCACGCCATCCCTAGGGTCGTCCCTAAGGGAGGTTCTAATCGTGTAAAGTATCGAACTTTACTTGTGTTTTTTTTTTTTCAAATACACAACCTTTAAGCAACCCTTTATACGCGTTTCCGAATAAAATTCAACAACCTAACTTTTATGTCTAATATAATTAATTATTCCTAGTAAGAAATTAGGGAATATCTTACTGCAGTAAATTTGTAATTTACTTTTTTGAGGCTAGGTAAAATTATTAAATTAAATGTAAACTAAAATCACGAATTTCTTGAGTTCTACAGAATCTTTAACTGAATGTGAAAATAATTTGCATTAATGCAATCTAGGGGTTTTTTCCAAAATACAAGGTTATAGAAAATCATAGTAAGTATGCAAATAAAAGGCTATATTTTTTCTCACTAACCGCTTAAAAAAAAATTCGTGTATTGCCATCCAATTTTTGAATATTTTAAAAAAATCTAATAATTGCATCAGATTTTAAATAATTGTATGGAAATAACGACTCATCGCCAGAGTTCTGTTATACATGGAACATGGTTGAATAATGTGAAATCACCAACACGATTTTTTATTAAATTAATCTTTGGTTACAAGTTTTATTTTCTCACAGTTATTGCATTTTTATCCGCCATCCTATCTAAGGGAGATCATAAATGTGAGTTTGTAATGTTCAATGCACTCGTTGCATTCGCGGTAGTTTTATTGCACCTGAGGTCAATTTCTTACAAACTCTTCTATAAACTCGGGACAGAACCAATCAGACAAAACTTTATTAGTAAAATACATATTATTCTCTTCGATATCTTTAATACTTTTAATACTTTTTAATGAAATGGTGACCATACAAGTAGGTATTTTAAGCCAAGTATGAATGGAGATGAGTGTAGGATGAGTGGCGCGATCTTGTATCCATGGAACATACTTTAAACATGAAGTTAATCTTCCTCGGAATACAAATACAATATTCTCAAATCACTAGGAGCAGGGCCTCGCTAAGCATATGCTAAAGTTCGTTTCTAATTAGTTCTTGGGTGCCTCCAAGTCAAAAGTACCCATCTATAAGACCCCCTGGGGCTCAGACGGCCTGTTTATGGCCAATAAACCCGCCAATGACGAGTTGGCGTTCTGCCCTGGACTCGCGGCTGGTACACATGCTTCTGGACGATGGCGCGCCAGAAAGTGATGATAAAGTGATAATTTCAATAACTTCAACATTTTAATTTAAAAGATAGCTAAGTAGCTAAAAGTTTATAGTGCTCGCCGGACAATCAAAGAGTCGTATATATCCTGAGAAAATTCAGCAACTTTTTGATGGATTAAAACTGGACCTTAAGCAAGCTTTGAATTAAACAATGGTTCTGGATTAATCAATAGCTGTACAAAAAATGACGGATAATTTCACTCCAATCAGCTTTATCAAGTTTTCGTTCTAGTTTGGCATGATTAAGACGATAGTGTATAAAAATGAACACAGTATTTTACAGCAACACATTTGGTTGAATTTAAGTATTTTTCTTGTTCTAAAACTGGTTACAGGATGGATATTGAATCTCTAATTCACTCTTCTCTACATTCAACTCAAAGATATAACTCCCTACACATCTGTAGGTTAGCCTCGGATAGTTTAGCCTAGGATGACACTGACACAGCAGTAGGTAAAGTAGTTCCTTGAAATTTTGAATAGTAATAATGGGTGCGTCTCAAGGTCCATAGACTCATCCTAGTCCTGGCCACGGCTGAGCTCTTCACAATCAACCTAGTCAAATTCAATATGACATTTGTTGGAATTTTTCTTTCTAGGCCAATAAAGTGTTGCAAAGTTTAAAATAGTGAATAATTCATATATTGATGATTTAATAGCTGGAATTTTTATGTTGTTTAAACACATTATTCTTCGTAAGAAAGGAGCACACTGGTTATATTATTTATCTAGGAGTCAATGGGATGTAAATAAAAGCATCATAAACAAATTGGTTAACCTTATAAAATAATTCAAATTCCTGTTTTCGTGTGGAAAACAACCAGATGTGATATAAAAGCCAGAGAGATTGAGGCAAATATTTAGATTTATCAGCATATTCCAAAAGCAAGGGTCAATGATATTCTTGATATCGTCTCAATATCCATTCCCTGTTTACCATAAAAGTGCATTTCTCGATTATTACAAAGTAACAAATGCAACTAAAAGGATTGGCTGAGATTTTTCGACAGAGTAATAACATTTCCGTGAGTTCTGTTGGTGAATTACACCACAGAATAATCATATAACATGTATATCTCTTTACTCTGTGTATACGTAGTAAGTATCGTACGATTGCATTTCGAAATGTTAAAACTTCGTCTGATTAATAAACGAAATTAAAATATCTTCAACAAAGATTAAGTAAAACTTCAATTTTAGCATTGCATTTCTAAGTACTACGAGCATTAAACTATAAAAATACTTCCAAAATGCACAATATATTACATGTCAAAATTAATTGCAACAAATTTTTGTCACAACGACTTCTTCAGTTTCTCATAGTCGGTTACGATCATTCCCCCTTTAAATTTATTGTCTCGATACCGATTTCCTAGGGGGGAAAATACCCAAGAGTAATAGAGAGTGAAAAATTAATTGTTCACGTATCTAAAATCCTGATACCATCCAAATTAGCATAGTTCCCTTCATAATCTAGACATGGGATGACCTGAATCCGCCATGTGGGTGAACCAATGAGAACGACCGATAAGATGTAACATTCCCAGTCTGCAATGCTGGGTTTGGAAGCTGTAACATTCTGGTGATAAGGTTGATAACAGACAGACTTTTTATCACTTCGTGGTGTAACTTTCACACACCGTCCTACCTAGGAGATACCACAGGAAAGCTTCGTACAAACTTGTAATGTAGCTGTGGTGCAACAATTCAGAATATGTATCATTCAATTCAGTCAATGATTTCCCTTTGTAATCTTACCCTGGTGGATTGCCCAGCTTCATAAAGAAGAAAATCTCAACGAATTGGCGACTTGAATTTAGTTTTAAAAAGGGAGAAATTATTTTTACTTGAAGGCAAACCAACCCATTTTCATTGTACAGACGGTTTGTTTTACAATGAATATTCACATTAATATGATATATGAATATGATCAATGATAAATATGATCAATATGAATATTCATATTGTGATTCAGTATTTTTTTAGTAGTCGAGGAAGCAACGAGAGATTTTTTCCATGCGTTCGCCGACAAGGGAGAATCCTAAAAGTACGCGATTTCAGTTTTTTTTCGAGTTCGCTTTAAGATCACGGTTATTTCAATTTAAGCAAAGCCAACGGCACACACTCTCCATGAATATCAACATTTACTAAACAAAGCTCTACAAGTCGTTTAATTTTGGAAAAAATGTGTGCTTCACTCTGGAAAAAGTCTTGGGAAACTCCTCAAAGAAGTGCGCATGCAAAGTTGACTAAATTGTTGTTTAATTAGCGATCTACTAGAGTAATTAGGTCATTGATAAGTTGTTAAATTCGACATACTCGAGTAGTATTTAGAGTAGTAAAAATCTCTGTGGGGTGTAGGCCAACATCTTCTGCGTGATATTCAAAATCAACTTGAATCTTTGAAATAAAATAGCTCTACAATATCAAACAACTAATTAATCGTGTCACAGTACACTAATACACCACAGCAATAGTAGCGACAGCTGCCAACTTCGTAACCCTTTTATCGACACTCTTCTTATCATCAGCACGTTCTGCGTTTTATGCAACTTGACCTCAGCAGTGAAATGACTCATCTGATGCAGCAACTGTACTGACTTGGTCGAATGCAAGTCATCTTGCGTTGGAAAACTATATTGAAACTGATACGTTGGTTCAACATTGAATGCATGCTTTTGCCATCTAAATCGAGTGGTAGTTGTTGCAGAGGTAACGTTGGCTCGCGTCACGATTATAGTTTCTATATGAACTTTACTATACGCAGTTGCTATATGTTACACCGTGATAAAATACAATAACACGATGAGAAGAGCAAAAACGATATTGAAACAATATTGTAACTAGTGTAAATGATTCTGAAGATAACGAAAGTATTTGCCCAAGTTTACGCTTAACACCCCAGTACAAATAACGATCTCACCACACACAAAAAACTACAAAAAACTGAAATCTCGGTACACTCCAGTCCAAATGCTGCTGGAATCTCGCGCTAGAAACCCCTATACACACCATACACTATTTCACGAAATAGTAAAAACGAAAATATCGTTTTATCAGTCTCAGTAGGAATTACAATCTCGCTGGACACCCATCAAAAACCATCTTGGTCTCGCTAGACACCCTAGTAAAAACCGCGACCTTCCGTATACACCCCTTTAAAACTTATCACTCAATAGACACCCACGTAAAATGCACATACTCGAGATATTGTTACACAACAGATTAACGTAATAAGTCTCCCCTCTATACATATTTCTTCTATGATGAGCTACAAAATAGATAAAATGAAAGTCGTACCTCAGCGTGTGACGGTGTTTGCAGCAGCGCCAGGGCTAGACACCCCAGCAGCACCAGGCGTCCAGCAGCCATCTCTAGTCACAGACACTGCTACTGTCGATCAGTCATGCTGCAACAGACAAATCAGTCAGTTATAAAATAAAATAACACGAGGAAGATGGAATTCAAGTAAACAAGTATAATTCAAAATCAGATAAAGCAGTTGGAGAAAAGAATCTTACATAGAGTGAGGAGTGTCAGCATGGAATGTGAAAAGTCAAAATCATGAAGAAGAAAGTAAACACAAAATACCCCCGCCGCAGCAAACCTGCAGACTAAGCGAATTTCCATTTGACTGATTGGATTTACACTGAAACTGAAATGTCTACTTAAAAATATAACATTTATTCCCGATTTAAATAGAATTAGTTTAACAAGTACTTAGGTTTGCTGCATCAGGGAGGGTAAAACTGTTTTTTTTTTTGTAAAATGTTAATAGTTAGTAAGAAATAAAAACATTTTCCAAATTTGATCAAAATATGTTCATAAACAAGCAAACTACAACAGTTTACTCATTCTCCATAAGAATAACATGGGAATTTTAAATTTAAAATTTTTTGGAATTTTCTCCGTAACCATTAGGCGCATAATAACGCTTTAATATACTAAATTATTTGTTTTTTGAAGCTCTACAAAATGGTTTGGAAATTAATTGCTAAATTTTATGTTCTTTGGGTCAAAATTGGGAAAAACCTATTTTTACCCCGTAAAACCCCCCGTAAACACCCGATCCCATGGTCCGATCATGCTGGATCGCGAACTCGTTCGAATAGACGTAGGTTTACACGTTTGTACCAAATTTCATCAAAATCGGATCATTTTTGCTCGAGTTATCGTGCTGACGGACACATATATATATATATATCTCTTCTAATATATAAAATTCTCGTGTCACAGTGTTTGTCTGCAAACTCCTCCGGAACGAATTCACCGATCGTTATGAAATTTGGTGTGTAAATTCTGTAGGTATGCGAATCGGACGTAAACTATTTCCCGTTTCGAAATTCTTAAAAGGGCTCCGCCCCAGTGGCTCTGGAGTTTCCCATGTTAACCTTATGAGAAATCGAATTAATGAATCTTAACAGCTGTTTCAATTAAACAAGTTGGTTCTGTTCTATGATGTTCAATAGCATTAAAGTTACAAGGATTACCAACAGGGTGCAGCACTATTATTTCTTTTACATTTATGACAACAGCTAATTTGCAACCAAAAGGTGAGTGAGCGTAGCGAACGAACTTCAACCTGGAGGCGAGTTAGCGTAGCGAACGAGCTAACCTGAAGGCAAGTGAGCGCAGCGAACGAGCTCCAACCTAAAGGTGAGTGAGCGTAGCGAACGAGCTCCAACCCAAAGGTGAGTGAGCGTAGCGAACGAACTTCAACCTGGAGGCGAGTTAGCGTAGCGAACGAGCTCACCTGAAGGCAAGTGAGCGCAGCGAACGAGCTCCAACCTAAAGGTGAGTGAGCGTAGCGAACGAGCTCTAACCCAAAGGTGAGTGAGCGTAGCGAACGAACTTCAACCAGGACGTGATTGAGCGATGCGAACGAGATCATCTTGAAAATTAAACGTAACGGTACTTTCTTTCCATCGGTCTGTCTTAGGGGAAACCTATAACTTAGGCGATACGAAGTTCGCCGGGTCAGCTAGTATATATATATAAACCGTATATTATTTTCTTGCATTTTTAGGGCTACTAATATAATAAAATTAAAACATATATAACAAAGTACCCTTTTAGTAATTATTTTATTTTTCATGACGACATGTTTCGGAACTAAGTCCATTGTCAAGTCATTTTTACCATAACCTCATTCTTTAAACTAACAAAATTAAAAATATAATCATATGTAAAAATAATAAAATATGTTAACTAAATCTTAATACATTTTGGTATTAATTTTTTTTCATTATACTATATGAATGTTTTTCTTTCTTTCCTTAGTTTTTCAATTTTATCGTAGATAGGTTGGTTTAATTTTGGAATCATTGTGTTGAGTATGTTGTTGGGGTCCTTTTTGTTGTGTATATAAATATTTAGCTCTTCTTTCACATTAAGTTTCTCACGTTCTTTTTCAAATTCTAAAATAGTTAGATTGTCTTTCATGTTTTTATAACTGTGGTCTGTGTTCATTATATGGTCGGCGAAGTTCGACTTCATTGATGTCTGATTTTTTGATTTCAATGCTTGTAGATGTTCCTTGAATCTTGTTTTAAAAGTTCGAGATGTTTGACCTATATAATACTTGCTACAGTCACTACAGTTTATCTTATAGATTCCTGATTTGTTGTACTTTTCGTCTTCATTATCTTCTGTGTGTTTGATTTTTTTATTGATTAATTGGAAAATATTGTTCTTAGTTCTGTAACTTACCCTTATATCCGAATTTTTAAACGTATTTCTTACTGCTTTAGTCATATATTTGTTATAAGGTATACATATATATTTCTTTTTCTCTTCATTTTCCGTTGTTTTATTTTGCTTTTGTAATTTGTTTTTCAATTTATTCTTTATCATATTGTCTATCATTTTTGCCCTGTAGCCATTTTTCTCTGCTAAGTATTTAATGGTATTTTTCTCTTTTTTGAAATTTTCTTTATTCAAGGGAATATTAATAAGTCTGTGGATAAGTGAATGGAAAGTAGCGATTTTATGACTCCAAGGATGATTAGAATAGTATGGAATAATGATGTCTGTGGTCGTAGGTTTTCTAAATATGTTAAATGTATGTCTGTTGTTATTTTTTGAGATTGTAATATCTAGAAAATTTATTTGTTCTTTTTGAACCTCTCCTGTAAATTGTATTTTTGGAGATAGGTTATTAATATATTTTAGTAGATTATTAGCTTCATTTTCATTTCCTTTGAATAAACAAATTATATCGTCTACATATCTGTACCAGTATTGGATTTTATCTTTAAATGGGTTACAATCATTCATTATTTTGGTAGTTTCCATTTCTTTCATGAATATATCTGCCATTATTCCAGATAGAGGGGAACCCATTGGTACACCATCTTCTTGCAAATAGAAAGAGGAATTGTAGCTGAAATAGTTTTGTTTCAGTGTCAATTGTGTAAGCTGAATAATATCTTCAATTTCTTTTTTGTTTAATATATTTTTCCCAAAAAAAACCGTATATATATATATATATATATATATATATATGAATTTGAACGGATGGTGTTTTTGGCCTCTAGGGACCTCAAAACGAAAAAAAAATCGGTCCCGCGTCCAGGTCTTACCATGAGTACTACGGTAATAGCTTATTCCCTATATGGGAAATTCGCTAAAATAGGATTCAAAGACAGAAAGAGACAATATCGGAAAAGGAAATAATTATAGAAAGAAGGGAGTACTACTTCCCTATATTTTACATGAAATCTTAAGAGGAAATCAACGTTGATAGAAGAAACACAGGAGGAAGAGTAAACAACTTTGCTAGAAGAATGACTGGAAAATGAAATGTTTACTTTGGCTAGAGGAAACACTGGAAAAAGGAATGTTAACACTGGAGAGAGGAAACGTCAGAAATAAGAGTTGACTCTATAAAGAAGAAAGTCGACATTAGAAGATGATATTATAAGGGAAGATATAGGGAGAGGAATCTGTTAAAGACAGAAAAATGTTTATGTTAACTCTACTAAACTAGTATGAGCACTAAACTAATAATTTGATAGCCTGCTATATAAAGCATTAATAACTTATCTCAAATGCTTCAGGAATATACTACTCTCTTGGTACCGTTATTGGTTAAGGGAAGTAGCCTTTAGACACAACTCTTTTTTTATGAACCCACTTAGTTTTAATGCAAAAAATATACCTACTTAGTTGATTTCAAAGCAATAATCTACACCTACTTAATTAAACCACGATGTATAACAAAAAGTCCTATTGATATAATATTTCTTGCACTTACAAACCCACATAAAATAAATTATCCGCAACAGCCCATGACGCAATCGCTCAAACAATCCAATTCGCAGACTCTGACACCCAAGGAAATAGACAACTAAAGTTACGACCACTAAACTCAAATTAACTTTTAACCGACCAAACCTTGGGGCCAATTATCACAATGAGTTGTGACTATTTAAAACTTCTCATCAGACCACCGAAAAGGCAATAAACTAAGTAGGCCGTGAATATAAAAGAGGAGGACATCACCGCTAAATGTGTCCCAAACTGGGGCGGTGACGTCAACAACGTAACTCATCTGATCTGGTACAATGGGAGCCGGGGCCTACGTGGACGTCTAGCTTTCACAACACCTAAGGCAAATAAGGCAAAAGTTGCGTGCATGTCTGAAGACTTATGAAACGATCGATCATATTTAATATTTCAAATAGGATTAGATAAAGATATTGGGTATGTTTAGCCAAAGAAAAACGCGATTCTGAATAGTGCAAGTAGACCTCACGGTCGAAAGGGCCGATCTAAAACATAAACGTTACTTTCAATTTAGAGGTTTACAAACAGAAAACACCAGTGAAAAGTCAATGGTTCACTGATGGTAGATAGATCTTTTTGGTTTAAATTATTTTGAATTTGTTACCTTCTACATAGGTCTTAACCTGATAAGAACCACTTCTCAATCTTGTCTCCTGCTGATACATAAGGATGATAAGTACAAGGAATCTATATATTAATAGGCAAGCATGTTTCTATAAAACATTTTTTCTCAGCTCGTGTAAGGAAAATCTACGCATATTGTTAGAAAGATATTTTCCTGTAGATGTGCAGAATCCGTTTAAAAATTAAAATAGGTTCAAAAATAAGCAAAAAGATGAATTTAAAATAAAAAAATTAACATGGGCCTTATGGGTTGCTATGCTGGTGACAAAATAAAAACGAAACAGAAACAGAAATCCAAACAAATGAAAGAAATTCCAATCACATGTTTTATTTACATCGTAGGGTGAAAATAAAGAAGTCTTAACATTACATATTTTTGGTCGAGTTTTCGACCACTGGACGACCTCTAGTAATGCTAAACCTACAATTTAAAAAACCTATTACTTGTTTTAACTTATTTTTCGTACTTAAAAAAATCCACTATTTTGAATTTTTTTG